ACTGTACCACATGATTTTTAAATTATTTTCCTATTCTTGTGCTGGCAAGACTTTCAAGTTTTGGCAGTGAAGCATGCAGGCCTAATTCAAAAACATATCAATTCAGAGAAAGGAATCTTTCAGACTCTGGAGGCTGTGGATCAAATTTGTAACACACTAGCTGGCACTAAATTAAGACTGATGTTTCTTATCATAATTAACCATCATGCAGAAACACAAAAATATATTAAATTTACAAAACAATATGAAAAATTCAGGTTTGTCAGCAAGAACTAATGACACTTTTGAACAAGCATCAGTAGGACTAAATCTTACAACAGTAATGCAGATGTCAACCCAGACCTGCAAGATCTGACTGCTTCCAAGACACTTAAGGAGAACTGCACAGTGCAAACCAGCAAATCACACTCTTTCTTCAGAACCAGTAACCCTTCATATTTTGCAAAATACTTTCAGATTCAGCACTTAAAACCCAGCCTAAATCACATTAATTATTTCAGTTCTGCTAGCTGAAAAAACCCAACCCTTTTCTCTATGATTCATTTTCCTCTTAGTTAATTTAGAGCTTTAACTCATTGGAACACAGGGGACTTTTCCTATAGATGAAATAGGACACAGCCTGTTCTGAAAATTGCTACCAGGTGCATGCTACTAACCTGAGGAAATGTTCACAATTAGTCTGCCTTGGTCGACTTCACATGGAAAACATCACAAAAGTTCAGTATAAATTAACAAGAGCTGATTTGACACAGGGGCCAATTCTGCCAGCCTCATTCCACTTGAGAAGAAACCCAAGCTGCAACTAAACAAATTAAAATCAGGCAATTAGCCACTAATACTGTGAGATGGAACTGGACTAGCAGGTTTTCATGTCACAAAGTGCACCACATGCACACTCATTCCTGTCCTGAACAAAGCACATGCTCAGCTGCCCTGGCATGGAAATTCAAAGTGCTGCTGCATGGATACCAAATATCATCTTGCTAATGCCATGGATAAGAGCTGTGGAGCTCCTGGGAGTCCTGCTCACCCAAATGGGAGCTGCTACTTGCTCTTCCTCTAAAGAACTTTTCTCTGTGTGATTTGGTGGGAGATCTTTTATCAATCTTTTGATCTTCAAACACAAGTTGCATTAAGAGCAGAAAAAGACTCATCCTGATTTTCACCCGCCATACCAAACTCAAGAAACTTGCTTTACCCCTCTCATACAGCATCATATCCCCTTCCCAGATAAAAAAAAATTGGAAATAATTAATGAAGCAGACCTTTAATGAGGTCTGGTTTGTCTAATAACAATTAACAATGGGTTACTGAAACATGAACTATTACATTTATATTCATTTTGATTTGACTATCATACTGAGTTCACTCAGCAGCAACCCCCACCAGGATTTCACTGCTCAATATATTTTTATTGCTATGCAGCTTGAGCAATATTTTTGATCAATTCCTACAATCAACATCTGAACACAGCAGACCATTATTTTTCTGCTGAAAAAACAACTTCTTTAAACCTTGTTAATCAATATGCCCAGTTTAAGTTACTGCACAACTTAAACAGCCAGCTGTGCAAATAGCAGGAGCTGGGAAGCAACTTTCAGAGCCACTTGGATGGCATTGCCACCGATGTGTAACTCCTCATCAGGAGCAAATTCAGGTTAATGGCAGCAGGGTGAATGATGAGGTGCCCTCTGGTAGCTGATGCCTCTTTTCATTAGCCTGGGGACTCCAAACCCCTGGTCCTCCCCGAGATGCTTTGCTGGTAACACCTCCCTGTGCAGAGCAGTGCCAGTTAAATTGTTTACTCCTGCTTGAGACGGTGGAAAATTACTGACGTGCCTTCTCAGGGTCACCTCGCTTGCTGGGAAAGTTTGGATAATTAGAGACAAGACTGTTTGCCCTTCTCCACTCTGCTGGCAGCTGCAGATGAGTTATGTTAAAATGTCTGTGTCTCCTTTTCCCCAGTGTAGCAGCACCCCAGCTCTGCACATGGAGAACTCCCTGCTCCAGCCAGGACCTGCAAAAGGTGGGACACTGTCCTCGAGAAGGGGAGGTAACTAATGAGGGGAACATAATGGGGCACCTGGATAGCTCCTTTAATGAGTCGTAAAAACTGCAGGTCTGCAATTGGAGTCATTCTCTCACTGTTAGTGTTTCTATAATGCTGATTACTGCAGCGGCTGTGCCTTTAATTATCCACAAATGAGAACAAAATCAAAACTGGGGGGGAACCAAATATCACAGTGCTGCAAGTTGTCCTGTTAATCACCAGGCTCCACCTGATTTCAAGCACAGGGAACACCAAAGCTGGCACTGCTGAGGCAGGAAGAAAGCTGCTGAAAGAAAGGATGGTTGTTCCATGAAGGTAGAAAAAAAGGAAAGCAGCTGGACAGGATGCCAAGTCTCCTGAGGACACTGTTCCTGCAGGCAGGGAGGCTGGACGTGCCAGCTCACCCTGGCTGGAGGCAAGGGAACACGATAAGGGAAGATGGACAGAGGGAAAAAGCAGCAAAACCCATGGAGTGATTCATGCCAGGACCCGAGGGAGGATGAAGCCCTGCACTTTGAATGGAAGCACGAATGTCAGAGATGGGACATGATGGTTCTTAACCTGTTTTAATGTCCCTACCTGACTCACTTCTCTTGGATATTCCACATTTAAAAATACATCAGACCATCCATCTGTGGGTAAGCATGGTTGAAAAATAAACAAAACACCGTGTCCTTCTCCCTCTCCTTCCGTAAGGCAAATCACACACTACTGTATAAAACCACATTGCACTATTATTTCCTCTGTGAGGAGCAGAGGCTGCAGACAGAACGTCCTGTTCATTCCTGCTCTCATAGAGGAAATTAATGAGGACAAGTTTCCAAAGGATACTTATTGCATTTCCTCTACTCTAGGTCAGTGCTGGGAGGAGGAGAAGATGGACAGACTGGCAGCACAACCCTGCAAGTTGACTTTCCCTGGGAAAACCAGAGTGGCAGCAGATGCTTGGAGCATTCAAAGCAGGTACTGAGGTTTTCCCATTAGTCAGTTTTTTTAAACCTGGTCTCCCCCTTAGGCAAATTCATGTTCCTTGTGCTTGAACTTCTCAAGGCAGAAAAGATCAATAAAAATTATGTTTTTCACTGTCAGATCTCAGTTGCTGTTTCAGGTGCCACAGCTGCCACTAGAAATGCCTTTGCAGCTACATCTGGGAGAGATTTTCTTCCACAAGTGAATTTTTAGGACAAAATATCCCATAATTATTCAGTTCACTATTCTGCTAAATAATCTGTCAGAGCATGAAAAAGTTCTTCAATGTGTTCTAGGATCAGAGGAAGCAGTTTATCTTGCTTTAAGTTACATTTACACGTTCTGCCAATCCCTGTAGTACATGATGAACACAGCTCTGAGTCATGGAAGAATTGAAGGCACTTTTGGTAATTAAAGGTAATTCATTTAACCAGATATGGTTAAAATTCTCTCTGGTCAAATGGGAATTAACATAGACACTAGATTTAATACATCTAAAAGGTAGAAACAAAATGTTCTTACTGTCTTGTCATTGCAAACACACAGTATTCATCAATAACTGCAATCAATTTTTGCATGTAATCCAAGAGTGATGGCTCTTAATAAATTACATACTTATTGTTTTCATTGTAAAAACCATTAATTTGTTTAAATACTGCTACTTTTTCTTAAGCCTTTTGTTTTTTAAGTAACTGTAAGCAAATATAAGATATCATCACTGAGATTAATTATAAAAATGAAATGGTCCAGTGAGCTGGAATACAAGGAATAATTTCCTATGGAAATTGTTGATTTAGGAGCTTTCATCATAATGACTTCATGTCTGAACATGGAAACAGATTCATTCTTGCACTAAATCTCTCTTTTTTAAAAACTTAGTGTACAGTAGAATACAGAAAGGTGCAGCAGGTGTTTCCAAAGAGCATGGATGTGAGTTTTCCTGAGCTCCTACTCCAGCTGGGAGAATCTAAGTGATGCCCTGCGGGAGCTGTTCCCATTCAGCCCCATCCACACTGCCCAGTCCCACCCCACTTCCAGGCACACACACATTTTTAGGGAAATTCAGGAGCCCACTGGAGCTACCCTTAGAGGGAAGAAGCAGCACAGAGCTTCAGTGGAGTCTGACAGCTGCTCTAGGACCAGGAACCCGCTGGATTTGCCCTCAGGGAGTGACAGCTCCACCTTAAGAGAAGGCAAATATTCAACAGGATATGAGTTCTACAATAAATGGGCCTATTTGAAATAGGCAAGACAGGCTCTGGGTAGTTTTTTCTGCAGAGCCACCAGTTTTCCTCCACATAGTTCTGCCTCTGAGGAGGATTCCTGCCTCCACAATGGTGCTGACCACTCAGTCCCACCACGTGGCACACCTTTCCCAGTCCCATACAAGCTAATGAGGGTCTGCACTGGGTTATTTCCCAAAACCAGACAGCACAGTGGAGTGACAGGGTGATTTACCTAAATTTCCCCATTACTCAGAGTTCTCATGACTGTGGTTTGATACATGGTGTAACCCATTCCTTTGCAAGGTCAGATCAGACTCAATTTTCTGTAAAGCCAGCTCACTACAAGCAAAAATTGTGCCTCCTTGCAGAGACTGTTTGCAGGTGTTATTCTGGGCTAGAACAAAGAAGAATGAAAATCCCAGTGTGAAGGTTAATGTGGAAATCCTCCTGAGGGAGTAAGATAAAACAATGAGCATTTCCTCTGTGTCAAACATGTCAAGCACACAAATGCCATTCTCCTCTGCTCAGAGACACTGTAGCTGTGCCCAGTGACCCATTCTGGGCAGAAAGAGCACTCCCAATGGCACAAAACATGAAGGATTTGCTTCTAGAGAAGGATCTCTGGAGGCACAGCATCTCCATCTTATGACAACTGCTACCTTCCCACAGTCCCAGCTGATGTTAGGCAAAACTCATTAATATTCAAACCTCAGCAAAAGGAAAACACGCACAGACCACAGCAGAGATCACAGTACCTAAAATAGCCACCACCTCGTCGTCCTGGATGACTTCCAAGGACCCTGAGACCACAAAGCAGAGGGCATCGACGCTTTCCCCAGCGTGGTAGATGAGGTCCCCCGGGGCACAATGGATGGTCTGGAACTCCACGGCCAGGGCTCGCAGGCAGCCGTCGCTGGCCAGCCGGAAGGCAGGGTGCTCGTTGAAAACCTTCCTGTTCAGGTGCACGCAGATGTCTGCTCTCATGTCCTTGGGGCAGATCGACAGGACCTGGGCGAAAGAAAAGATGGAAAAATAATCAGCTGGGCATGGGACACCAAGGCCACCACTGTTTGAAATAAACTGGATGGGTGGGTCTGAAGGTGTGCCGGTGGGGGGTCTTGAAGTCCGTCCATCCATCCATCCATCCATCCATCTATCTCATTCATCCCATCCATCCATCCATCCATCCATCCATCTATCTCATTCATCCCATCCATCCATCCATCCATCCATCCATCTATCTCATTCATCCCATCCATCCATCTATCTCATTCATCCCATCTATCCATCCATCCATCCATCCATCCATCCATCCATCCATCCATCCATCCATCCATCCTATCCATGTATAGCCATGATATTTTCTGAAAAATCCTTTCCTTAGGATTTTTCCTCCTGAGAAGCTGGGAAGCCTCAGGAACAAAATGCAAACAATGGTTATCTGCTGCTGTGGAATGCAACAGGTGAATCTGTGATTGGTCTCATGTTGGTTGTTTCTAATTAATGGCCAATCACAGTCAGCTGGCTCAGACTCTCTGTCCGAGCCACAAGCCTTTGTTATCATTCTTTCTTTTTCTATTCTTAGCTAGCCTTCTGATGAAATCCCTTCTTCTATTCTTTTAGTATAGTTTTAATATATATATATCATAAAATAATAAATCAAGCCTTCTGAAACATGGAGTCAGATCCTAATTTCTTCCCTCATCCTCAGACCCCTGTGAACATGGTCACATCCATCCATCCATCCATCCATCCATCCATCCATCCATCCATCCATCCAATCATTTCTTACAGCTTCTGGTGGGAGTTTTATCCTGATTTGGGGCAGTCTTTTCCCACCCATCTACAGCTTTCACTTTGTCTGAAAGGGTGATGTGGAAGACAGCACTGTTCTGTTACACTCTGCTCACTCCTCACAGCTCTCACACTCATTTCCAGAATCTCACACTCATTTCCAGAGGTGGAAATGCTCTGTCCTGTCTGTGGGTGTCCCCCCACACCTGGTGCCCAGACTATCTGCCTGCTGCTATGCTCAGTCCCTGCAGGAGCACAGAACACAGGACTCACAGAGCTGAAGGAGCTCGAGGACATGCAAAGACAGACCATCCACAAAGAAAACTACCACATTTTGTTCACACTCAGAAAAACCAACTTTCAGTACTCTTGATGCAGTGACCACTTATCAACACATGTCCAAACACACCCAGGGCTCAGTTTCAGTGAGATATACAAGGAATTACCTGCTCAGGGCCTACTAGACCAGAAAATCCAAAGAGATTGAAGGAAAAAGGAAGTATATTGAAACCTCATGAAATGTAAAGTAAAGGTAAGTGAAGAACTGTCCACTATGAAGACATCTTCATTGTAGATCAATTAAATAAGACCTTCAACTAGTTTCTTTACCTTAAATAGCTTTCCCTATTGAAACAGTAACACAAATACACCTGAAGAAAGAAAATTAAAACCTGTGGGTCTTGTTGGGTTTGTAAACTGTGTGTTTAATACCTGCACAGCCTCCTAAAAACACTAATATTCTCATAGCCCCAAAATGCACAGTAGCTAATTGCACTAAGAAACATATAAAGACTCTTAATGTTTTTCTAGAATAAATGATAGAAAAGAGCACGACACTAAGAGCACCCTGGAAGTCTCATATCAAGAAGACTGCAGATCAATAGTACTGATTAATTTCCCATCACATGGAATTAATCTGGCAGCTTGCTCTGCAGACAATGCAGGCTACAGGGACATTGGGTTAATGAGTTGACTATTCTGTAATAATAGCAGAGGGAGACTCTGGTAACCCTGACTAAGCTTTGAGGTAAATGGTCACGTTAATGAACTCAAGCCACGATTTTAATTTCTGTTTAATGCAGGAGAGGTATAAAACAAATTACTGCAAAGCATTACTAAAGCTCTTAGAGCACAGAATGTGAAAAGAATAAATAAATTTTATTTTAATAATAATAATTGGTCCTTTTCTTATTCAGATAGATCAAAGTGCCTTTGGGATCAAAGACATAATGAATGCAGAAAGGTGAAACAGAAGTTATTCTCCCGTTCTCTGTACTATGACAGTGTGTGGTGAGAAGGGGCTGCCGTAATCATCTCCACTAACCTCTTCCACTCCAAATATTCCCATCAATCCCAGAACACCTGGTAAAATTATAGCCTGGAAGTTTGCAAATGATACAGGTCATTTGTTCCAATGGACAGCTACTCTTTCTTTCAAAACACGTGTTGTTTCTGAACTATTTTTTTTTCATTTTCAGCCAACAGTCAGAGAATCTATGATCTTGTTGAGATAAAAGACCTGCAATACTCATAAATCTCTTCCACATGCAGGTGTTCATAGAATATGACCAGGTCACCTCTCAATTTTGAAAAAACAAGAGAGATAGAAGATGTTTTTTCTGTCTAACACTATGAAGCGCAGGCTCTCTTTGGGAACTTCCTCCTTCCTGAGGTTTTCTCACTTACAACCAACTTCCCAGAGCTACCAGATCATTAGTTTTTATTTTAGTTAACACAGAGTAAGTCAATTTGAGTTAATAGTATTTTTCTGTAACAGAATGCTGTACAGAACACATTAAAATCCCCTGCATAAGTATGTTTTATCATAAAAACAGTACTAAACACATTTGACAAGGCATATTCTCTATAAGCCATCATTTGCATTAGTAATAGTATCTTGTCTGAGTCACTGTAGACCACGTTCTGTATCACATTTCCATAATTTAGCAGGGGCAAATGTCAATTTTACAAAAGTCTATTTACCTGAGTCATTCCATTTACCAGTAGAAATATGGGCACACCTAAGTTTCTCAATAAAAAAAAAAAAATATACTTTTGAGAGTGATTGTTTCACCTCAGCCTTACTTGAGGATCAAACAGAAAGTTTGTCTTTATTACAATAAAACAGAAACATGCCATCTTTCTTCATCTCAATAGTAACTTAATGAAAAATTCTGCTTTCCTTTCTACCATGATTGATGATTTTGAACATTTTTATCTACTCTTGGGCCTGAATCATGGTTATAAGTTTTTTAGGTCCCTTTAATACTATCAGAAATGTAAGTGCTTTTGACTTAACAAGGCCACTAGCTAGGAATTCTCAAACATTGCTCTTAAGAAAAATGTCTGTGTTCATACATGACTGATTACCAAACTTTAGCTTTTGAGCTTCCAAACTGCAGAAAAAATTGGTTAAACTGATGCAGAGGTTGTTCCTGTAAGATTCCGAGATATTCCAAGACCCTTTGCTTGTTTGGACTGTGAAATAATTGGACTTGTGAAATAATGCAAAGCAGCATACCATTTCCTCACAAATATAGACTTAAATACAGAGTATTAAAAGTGAACACTCAAAGAATTATTCTTTTTATAGACACAAGCAGCACATCTATCATTACACACTGTAATATGAAGAGAGAGAAAAAAAAATCCATTGCACAGAGAAAAGCCAGTCTTAGAAAGCATAATTCAGGAATTTTCTGATGTCATGAAAAAGTGATTCTCCTAATGGCAAATCACTGTACAGAGATATATGGAGATATCAGTTATCAACATCAGCAGTAAATGAGTAATGATCTAAGAGTTAGCCAGGAACAAATATGCTTAATTTAATTTTTCCTGTCTGCTACATAGGCATTGAGAACAAAGAATGAAACAGATGACAAGTAAAACAAATATTTAATACTAGAAGATTTGGCAAGGCATTTTTGACTGCCATAGATAAATGTAGATACATGTAGAGGGAAAAAGAGAGCAAAGATAGACAATTGCAACACTCAGCTATGTGTTTAATGCATGCTCTTCAAATGAGCACTTCAAATTCAGATGAATATTCATGAAAATGACCTCTTACTGATAATACAAGACTCTGGACATTCTTACAGTGTATTGCTCTCACTGAGATCTCAGCAGCATGCAGCCAAAGAAATACAAACTAATAGCACCATGGCTGTCCCTGAGTTCATATTGTGCACAAACACACACATGTGGGTGCAAAAAAAAAGAAAAAATAGGTATATCCTGCAATGCTCAGTCAATCTTTTCTCTGTGAGGGAAATATCTCCAACATATCCTGGCAACAGAGCCAAAGCTCAGCTGGGACATTGGTTCTGCCCTGTGTGTTCTTCCAACAGCACAGCAAAAACCCACCAAGATAAATTTCTTAAGAGGAGATTTTCTTGGAGATTCAGTGGCCTTTTGCAATGAAACATGCAGTTTGTAAGGCAGGCAGGGTATTCAGGTGCTAACTGAGGGGTTTGGAGCACTTGAGGGGACAGGTGCTTGTGCTGCTACAGAATTTGCTTCGTAATAAATCTGTAGCCACAGACTTTGCAGCCAGCTCTCCCCTATGTGTCCAGGCAGCATGAAAGAACAGAACCTGCTACATATCAGTGCCAAATCAGAGGAGAAAGCTGAATTCTACCTAGAGGAGAATCTTTGCTGGCTGTACCAACTCTGATTTCACCAGGAAAGAAGCAAGGCTCCCTGAACAGCACACTGGTATCCACAAATATCTGACCCACTCCAAAGCTGAGGGAGAAGAAAGCAGAATAAATAAACAGAAAAATATTTAAATGAACAGAATAATATTTATCACTTTCCCTCTTTGCACAGGAAACTGAATCTCCTCCAAGTCAGTGTAAGACAATTGCTGAACTCTGCCATCTCCACCTGGCACCCAGCTGATGCAGACCCCAGCAAGATGAGTCCCAAAGCAAAGACTCAACAGCGCCATCATCTCTAGATCATCTCATATGGAAAATGCTGACAGGGAGAGAATGGCTTGTGGTTGCTGCTAGAGATGGGGAAAGGCAGGAACCAGATCTGGAAGACTCACAGGGAATTAGCACAAAAGGTCTCACAGTCTTTTCAGCTCGAGATCTGTAGGGGTGGGGAATTAAACTCCCCAGGAGGTTCCATCTGATTTTTTAACTCTCTCATCCATTGCCTCAGCATGTGCAGGCAGTTCAAGATAAGCTTCCTGAACAGCTCAA